CGTGCATGGTCTTCGAGCATAGATGGGGACAACGGGGCATCCCCTTCCAGGTCAAAAATCTCCGGAACTCCTCGAGGAGTCGAAACATGAGCTTGAGGATGAGGAGACGGTTGGGGTGAGATGCAGGACTCTTGGATGATTGCCCGACCACCTTGCTCTAGGCAGGATCTCGAGCTCTCTTCTTGCCCTTAGACGGGACGGGTGCTTTGGGCCTCAGACCTGTAGATTTTTGCTGCACGTTACCCAAAAGTGCAGAGGGATCAAAAGACATCTCTAAATCTGCAAAAATAAGACAATATATTAGCTCGACCTCAAGGTCTAGATTTTTTAAGCACAAAGGATGAGATGATCATACCTTCGAGCCCTCTTACGTTGGCAAGGTCAAGGGTGTCATCCTCGAGGAGGTAATCAATCTTTGCTGCCATAGTGGTTGTAGAGTTGAAAATTTCCCTTCATTGTCCAAGGTTCGAATCCTACCTCTAGCACATTTAGCATAAAATTTTACTTCAATTAGGTAATCGTCCGGTTCACACATTGAACCTGACCGATTCCGCTTACAACCGTCCGATTTGGACTGTTAATCAGTGGTTCAACAGGTTCTCGATCGGTTCATGTGCTTATTTGATAATTTAATGCACCATGACCGGACCATGGTCCTGGTCGGTGGTTTTCGGTCCGAACCGGTCTGTTCGGTCCAAATTTAATAACTATGCTAAAAATAGTAATCTTCCAATCTCAGTATCAATGACGGACTCACTAAGCTCGGGGGTCCTAACGTTGCACAAGTGCATTACCCCGAACTCTCTGGCAACCTTTACCACTACATGTTCTTTATACTTAGTCGTTTTCCTAGGGTAGGTCAAGATAGATTCGACCTCAGGGTGCGAACTAAGGGGGACAGCTAAGGGAACGATAGCTACTTCTACATGATCGAGGCTTCTAGTGGTCGATCTATTGGAAGATTGGCTACAACTGCTCGACCCATTACTACTGCTACTCGACATTATACTACTTAAAAATAAATAACTTAGGAGCTCGAACACTTACCTCTTAGATTGGTCGTTCACAAAACCCTCTACCCAGACCTCGAGCTGCCTTTATTGTATGTCGAGAGTGAAAAGGCAAAAATGAGAGGCGAAAATGGAGTATTATAGAGGTCAAAGGAAGGTCAAATGTCGCTCAAATTTGGGCCTTAGATCAGGCCATGTGTCACCATCCAAGGTCCCTCAATCCCAGCATTTGGATGGACGCCATGTGTCACCATCCAGAAGTGTTTTTCCCCGAACGCGAGTACGTTCCACGCACGTAACCACAACCCGAAAAGCTCAACCTCTGACCATGCAAACATCGATGCATCTTGGCCCACAGCTCGGGAACACAACTTATGGTTGGGGACCTCGTTGCATGGGGGCCTTTGAATAAAGCCCCGAACCCGAACTGAATGACCTGACCTCAACTTAACATTTTGGGCCCAATCCAAGGTCAGGCCCAGGACTAGGTCTGGTCCAACCCAAGGTCAGGCCTACTGTTCGAATAAATGACTCCAACATGTCCTCATATTGCCATGTCACCTAAAAAGTACTAATCTTATTCAAACACAAACTTTTGACTTATCACTAATTCAAACCCAATTAAAATTATCCACTTCAATGCAACACAAACACCCTAAATAAACTAAGAGAACTCCAGGTACTTGGGTCTTCTTAGGACTGCACCTCTAACATCTATAAATACATAACCTAGCCTCATCTATCTTGTACATTTTCATAAGCATTCATCATAACTTTTTCTTGAGCACTTGTCTGACTTAAGTATCGGAGGGGCTATGAGGACACACCTCGACGCCTTGGTTTCAGGGATTGAAGATCGGATCATGCAGAGCTCTCCAGTTCGGATTG